ACTGTTTGGTGCAAGTCCCACCTGGGATTCGAACCCACGTTCTCAGACTCAGGCACCTAATCACCAGTACACCAAGTCAGCGATCTAACCCACTCAGCCGCCACACAATCCCTAATATAACATATCTTACATGAAAGCTGTTTATTGATAAATACAGCTCAAGTTCATTTTTATAAACATTCGTATATGATGAATGAGATGCGATAATTAATTATCGAACCTGATCCACATCAACTCCATTACTGCTTGCAAGGCGAATACAGACAAGAGAACATACAATGCTTATTTTTCATGCTACCAGCTTATGTTGGCAACATATTTTTAAATGAATGTAAAGTATGAAAAGAAACAATGGTACCATTTACATATTGCATTGCCAAGTAGTTATTGATCCTTACGGATTAACACTCTCTCGTCACATTGAAAATCCGGGGCGTTCCTGGTGTTACCTGTCATTTCATTGTAGGAAATTTGCTCTAAAACATTCAACGCTGAACCTCCTGCACCTGCACTCACCCAGACACGTCAATCATTCATATCCAACATTCAGCGATCATACCTGTCATTCATATCAATCATTCATATCAAATATTCAACGATCATACACCTGAACTCACCTAGACACATCGGTCATCCATGTCAAACATTCAACATCATACATCTGAACTCACCTAGACACATCGGTCATCCATGTCAAACATTCAACATCATACACCTGAACTCACCTAGACACATCGGTCATCCATATCAAATATTCAACGATCATACACCTGAACTCACTTAGACACATCGGTCATCCATGTCAAACATTCAACATCATACACCTGAACTCACCTAGACACATCGGTCATCCATATCAAATAATCAACGATCATACACCTGAACTCACCTAGACACATCGGTCATCCATGTCAAACATTCAACACCATACATCTGTACTCAACCTAGACACATCGGTCATCCATATCAAACATTCAACGACCATACACCTGAACTCACCTAGACACATCGGTCATCCATATCAAATAATCAACGATCATACATCTGAACTCACCTAGACACATCGGTCATCCATATCAAACATTCAACGACCATACACCTGAACTCACCTAGACACATCGGTCATCCATATCAAATAATCAATGATCATACACCTGAACTCACCTAGACACATCGGTCATCCATGTCAAACATTCAACGACCATACACCTGAACTCACCTAGACACATCGGTCATCCATGTCAAACATTCAACATCATACACCTGAACTCACCTAGACACATCGGTAATCCATATCAAATAATCAACGATCATACACCTGAACTCACCTAGACACATCGGTCATCCATGTCAAACATTCAACACCATACATCTGTACTCACCTAGACACATCGGTCATCCATATCAAATAATCAACGATCATACACCTGAACTCACCTAGACACATCGGTCATCCATGTCAAACATTCAACACCATACATCTGTACTCATCCAGTCAAGACGAGGACCAGGTGAATAGGAAAATGACCTCACTCCCATTTTGTTCTGGACAGGTATTGGGGTCATCGGTTTTGTACACCTGTACTAGTGGGGGATCTACTTCAATACCGGTCTCAATGTCTTACCAATTAGTTCATTATCATTCTACAGGAAACTAACATCTCTTATAATTTAGAAATTCAAAGTTAATTCCTATTATAAGGGGTAATGCTATCATTTGAGCCCTAGGCATTATCGATTTGCAGATTACCCTAGGAATTTGTGTTGAAAGGAAAAAGGAAACAATGAATTGACTGCCCGACGAACTGGCGCAATTACGTCATCGAAAGTCAAGTGACGTCACAACAGAAAGTGACGATATTCGCTTTGACAAAGCTGCAAATTCTATGTCAAACTGCTTTGACTTGTTTTACCCAGAATATCTGCCAGTCGATAGCCAATTAATGTCGAATGAACCGTAAGCCCACGCCCCAACTATGACGTCAATTGACAACAGAACTGATAGTGGCCCGTCGTAAAGGTTGAGCGGTCAAATATCATTTGCAGCGGCCCGCAAATTTCTGATAATGGGAGGGCCGTTTCATGATAATTCCATGTATTTTAGCTATAAAAGCTTTTATCATTTGTTGTTAGTGCATGGTATGATAGGTATCACATGTGGGGTTTTGAATATAACAGCCTGATTGTGATATTAGTGTGACTACATATAATTTAAAATTACATTGATAGAAAATGGTACATTACATTTATTTTCAACAATGCGAGGCTATGTTATTTTTTCATTAAAAAAAAATACGGGACAGAATTTTCCATCTCATTTCCCACGTGGCTGCCTCATTTGTCCTATCGAATATTTCGACCGAAGGCACCCGTGAAGATGTGGGTTAGAATTGGTCCTCAGCAACCCATGCTTGTCTTAAGAGGCGACTAACGGGATCGGGTGGTCAGGCTCGCTGATTTGGTTGACACATGCCACCGTGTCACAGTTGCGTAGATTGTTGCTCATGCTGTTGATCACTGGATTGTGTGGTGCAGAGTCGATTATCTACAGACCGCCGCCAAATAGATTGAATATTGCTGAGTGCGGCGTAAAACAACAATCCGACCGAAAATAAAGTTACAGGTTGCACGACTGATGCCGAATTCAATTGTCTCTTTCTGCATTGGGACACACACTTGACAGCCAGTAGAAGAAACTGCACAGCCAGTAGGAAATAATACCTTGAGATTTTGACAAGATGGTTAACATTGCTGAATGCTTTCCCTCAGAATATGTATCAAGGGTTGTCGGGAATGAAGTCCGCAGTCTATGTTACACTGACGCTACACGGAGACAGACAAGGGCGGGACAATGGCGATCTCCTCCAGGCAAAAAAGCGTGGTAATGAGGACATTAAAATTCGCAGTACGGATGTTAGTTTCTTCAGCATTTTCATCAAAACTGCATTCATGTATACATCACAAGACTGACTCCCATTGACAGTTTTAATGAAGGAAAACATTATTTAAGCCAAATTGAGACATGAAAGTCGTCTTGGCTGGTGAAATGTAAACAATACCGCACGCCACACTTGCAACAACGGTATATGAATAATATTCCGTGTGAGTTTGCTATTGTCACGAAATAGTTGTTTGTTAACTATATAATTGAGCGAACACATTAAGTAAATAGGTTTCCATGTGTATGTTAACAAATCTGCTGACGCATATGTCGACGACTGTAATCAATTTTTGCCGTTGCTATTGGCTCGAAAAATGAACGCCCACGATAACTAGAAAATAACACCCTGCAGTAAAGAGAAACCTTTGATTTGATGTTGAATTTTGTTCGCCACCCTAGAAGGCATAAATAAACTATTTGAAATTAAACCTTAGGTTCTCAGTCCAGATAGGACTGACTGACTGATTGAGTTTGGTTTTACGCCGCTTTTAGCAACATTTCAGCAACAGCACGCCGGGGCAAGATAGGATGAAGTCGTTATGCGACAATGGTTTAATAAATATTATCATTATACAACTGCATGACAGTGCTTATTTTTCCATCACATGTGCGGGATCAACAGTGAAAGGCGATCCAAATTCTGCTTTAATGCTGTGAATTGTTATTTGAAAACAAACAGGACATACTCATAATTTTTGTTGTTGAAAATAATTTAGTAGGTTATGATTATTCGACTCGACGAGGGAAGAATTGCAAATGTCCTTTTGCGTGGGTATGGTAAGTCCATATCATTCAAGGAATATTGTCATTGTTTCAAACCCAGAGTACTTGTCATTTCCCTTCCCATCTCCAACGACTAAGGGATAGTGTAAATATGGTTTGTGAAGGTAGCACAAGTCCCTATGGTACATAGTATTGAAATATCCATTCAGTTGCTGGAGCTGGTGTCATAAATACCATGGGTCCATTACCTACACCAGCTTCCCTTAGAGCCGGTGTCATAAATACCATGGGTCCATTAGCTACACCTGCTTCTCTTAGAGCCGGTGTCATCAATACCATGGGTCCAGTAGCTACACCAGCTTCCCTTAGAGCCGGTGTCATAAGTACCATTGGTCCATTAGCTAGACCAGCTTCCCTTAGAGCCGGTGTCATAGATACCCCTTCAGTAGCTGACAATCTATAGCCCTTTTTCATGCATCAGCTTGGAAAGTGAAATGATTGTAAGGTTTCGGGCTTGTCTCATATCTATGTGATATTCTAGCTGTGTGTTGACCCTTGTCGACAGGTCCGGTAATCTACCTTTAAGTATGATCCACGGTTGACGATATGTCTGAAATACTGCGGCGTGACTGTAAATCGTAACTTTCTCACTGAAATGTAAATACGTAGTTATACAATGAAAAGCACTTTTTGTACCCACCAGTGTATATTATACATCATACATGATAATACATATTCTAGATCATATTGCCACATTTGCATCGTTGGGAACCCCTTCAAACTATTTGGAGATAAAATCACTTGATGTCCAGGAATAATAGAAATTCATGGAGAAAGATGGAGTAGTGGATGCTTTTGTGTCTTTATGATAATACTGGCTATTTATATAAAGTGCCTGTTTCCACGCATTCGTGCATGATCAAAGCGATAACACATTATTACTCGGATAACCCAAGCTGCCTGTGAAACGCTATAAGGTTAACAGTTAACAGATGTATTCCACCGGGTACCCATTCACTGCTGGGTGAACAGATGCGATTCATGAACTCATTTGCCTAAGGTGAGACCACATGTGTCACGTGTGCTTCGTTGTGAGACTGGACTGAAATCCTAGAAACTCTCAGGAATCAGGCTGCCAAACACGGTCACTCATTAAAGGACTGTCCACGACCAATGATTCCTTTCTTCAACTGTTAGACCTAGGCCGTATGCACAGAACCACACACAACCACCGCATATGCTGTTCTATTACAAAATAGGCTTAAAATACCATGGTTGACGACAATGGAAGAAGCAAATGCATTTCCATGAATGATGTATACATTTATTACCTTAAACGTGAATGTGAAAATTTTAAAATAAAACACAAAAAAGCACGTGAGTAGTACAAAAGCCGAAACTAGGCTATCTAGCCAGTCCGCTAGCTTGTTACCCACTGTATCTTCACGTCATAGCTGAAAGAAGACATGTCACATCTGTTACTCCGTTGGTCGCCCACACTGATGTACTTGTCCAAGTGCTTTTCATGTTTGTCAACACATGTTTTTTAGCCATCATTTTGTATCTCTCTTTGCGCAGAGATCATGAGGCTGTTGCCCAGGGCCAGCTGACGATAAGGCCCCCAAGGTGATGTTCGCCGCTGAGACGAGGCCGTCACCAGAAACATAGAAATCTTCTATAATCTCCCCCGGGTACTCGTCCGTGACGTTGCGTATGCTTTTCCCATCTACAGTAATCTGCAAGGAAACAAGAGGATCATCCGTGAATATCCACGGTTTCATTCTTATGTCATAAATATCACGGGCCCTTTAGCTAGACCAGCTTCGTTTGGAGCCGGTGTCATAAATACTATGGACCCTTTACCTACAACAGCTTCGTTTGGAGCCGGTGTCATAAATATCATAGGACCTTTAGCCAGACCAGCTTCGTTTGGAGCCGGTGTCATAAATACCATGTACCCTTTACCTACAATAGCTTCGTTTGGAGCCGGTGTCATAAATACCATAGGCCTTTTAGCTAGACCAGCTTCGTTCGGAGCCGGTGTCATAAATACCATGTACCCTTTACCTACAATAGCTTCGTTTGGAGCCGGTGTCATAAATACCATAGGCCTTTTAGCTAGATCAGCTTCGTTTGGAGCCGGTGTCATAAATACCATGCGTCCATTAGCTAGAACAGCATTGGTTATCAAGGAAAAATAAAAAATATATATTTCATAATTGTTGCTATGCATGTTGCTGGTGGGCGTGGTGGGCGAGCTGGCTAAGGCACCAGGCTGAAGAACCAGCGAGGTGGGAGGTGCCGGCATCGAGCCGACCTGTGGCCGGGTGTAAAAACCTTGGAGTCAACTTTGTGTGCAGACTCTTTTAGTGTTGTCACAACCCCTAGTGTACAGTACACAATCCTGTGCACTTACAAGAACCCACGAATCCGTTGTTAAATGATCAGATGGTGGCCACATGAATACGTGCAAACACCTAGTTGCGGGTACAGCAACGTACAGTATATGTGGACAAAGTACTGTGACTTTGTGTCCCAGTCCACCCAGCTGTGAATGGGTACCTTGTAAGGATGGGAAAGTCACATGAACCTGGTGTGCTTAGTGGTTGCAAGAGTTGCATACTCCCCAGGGAGTTGAGATTGAAAATACGCTGTACCGTTGAGATTGACATCCAGTGCTCGAGGGAAAAACATAGCACTTAGAGCATGCATGTAGATGGGATGGTCTATATCGCTATATAAATACCCATATGATAATCATAACGTTTAGACCAATGATCGCCCGGATCGAACTAGATTCAGATTATTACTCTTGCTTTGTCACCACCCTACCTGAGCTGGGAGATTTCGCCTCCCAGGCATAAACCTGGGTCATATTCCCACAGTAACGTAACATGGCAGGCTCTCGTACAAGTGTAGCCGACCTACTTCACACATCCATATGGAAAATGATGTTGGAAGAAAGGACAATGCTTCTAAACAGAATAACTATTTGTCATTGTGTGGTTAGCGAGTCATGTACGGTCGTTACAGTTATCTACGAGGGTTCACAGCAAAAAAACGAAAAAAACTTGACATGTTGAATGGTATACAGTCGATACATCTTTTAACTGTTGATCAGACATGATGTCGAGACATGTGAAGATCCGGGTTAGAATTGGTCTTCAGTAGCCCATGCTTGTCGTAACAGGCAACTAACTAGATCGGGTGGTCAGGCTCGCTGACTTGCATGACATTTATCATCGTATCCCAGTTCCATAGATCAATGCCGACGCTGCTATCACTGGATTGTGTGGTCCAGACTATTTTGATTTACTGGAGTATTGCTGAGTGCGGCTTTAAACAACTAACCTACCAACCAACAGATGTCCACCTATCTAATACATGGTAGAAAATAATAATTACAACTTGGATGTAAATTTGATATGAAGACCTATGGCAAACAACAACATACCATGTACATTCCTTTGTCCAGTCGTATCTCCACCAGAGACTCGGTACCCACTGTCATTGGGACCGGCGTTATTGTGGTGCCAGATCCCCAAACACCCGCGAAACGTGAGCCAAATACCACCGTGTTGTCATCCAGTCTGAAGTCGATATGACACAGAATATTGGGCCCACTCAGAAAGTCCATGTGTACTCTAAAGAAAGGTAAAATGTAATGTAAACACAGGAAAATGCCCACCATCACCACCATTTAAACTAAGGTTCTTGAGACGCATTTAGAAGAGGTGTTATCATTTAAACTGTTAAAAGAATTATTACCATGCTAAAATATGTTTGAAAGATTATTTTATGAAATAATTGCATTGCATTGTTTACATTGTTTCTGGTCTGCCGAAACAATGCGTACGTGACAATATAGTTTAACTCATTCACATTATAAGTTGTGTGCTTCTTCTGAGGGTAATACGGTCTGATGTACACGTCTGTGTAGAAGTGTTACCCGAGCCAGTTTATAACGTATGTATATTAAATGTACAAGCTATCATTTTATGTTATTTTGAAGATCGATAAGCTCGATACCGACTATATGACATATGAACAAAATGGCGTCTGCTTCTCGACTGGATATTTAAACTCAGTGAAACATACTATCTGACAAGCTTAGAACTGCTATAAAAATGGTTAAATGTATAAGTGGAGTGTGCAAACGATGCAAGGTATAAAATGGTTTAAATGAAGCTGTGAAAGTCGGTAAAATATATGTGTACATACAGAACTCAAAACAGCTAATCGAACGGTTTTCGATTGTATGATTGTATGCAAAGTCGGTTTATCTCCGTTCTACCGAAAAGGCCACAGCTCTTTGAAAACGGTGCTTTCTCAGAACGCTAATATTGCCTGGGATGGCGGACCATCTGTCAGGGACAGTACCGAAGAAGGAGCACGGGAAAAACACAACCAATATTAATAATAATAAATGCATATTTATAATGCGCCTATTCAACATTATAAGGCATGCTCAAAGCGCCACGGAACAGCTACACTATTATGACCACGGATGACACAAGCTGTCTGTGAGGCGCGAGAAGGTTAAAGTCACATGACGTATCCCACCGGGTACCCATTTTCAGATGGGTGAACAGAGGCAATTTTCAACAAACCCACTTGCCTAAGGTAACACCACACGTATTACATGTACTTCGTTGTGGGGCAGGGCTAGAAACCCTCAAGGGTCAAGCTGCCAAACATAGGGATTCTCCGCGCCCAACGTTGCTTTACTTCAGCTGATTTGTGACCTGACCTCTATGCACAAGACCACACACCACCACTCAACTTCAAAATTTAATTCTTAAACTTTCCTTATGTTCATCTCTCGTGGATGAAAGTGTCACAGGGACTCATATGGTTTGTACAGCATTTCATATTCATGCCTAAAATGCACAGCGAATCCATATCTTTCCCATGGTTGATAATCTGTTGCTCTAATATCGAACTTAAAACACTTTTATGGCTTACCAGCAGTCATTGTTAGATACATCGATGCACAGACTTTGGTCGGAAAGCTAGGATTTGTGTGTAAATGCAGGCTACATTTGAGGCACAAGTTGCTTCAGATACCTGGAAGTAATTCTATTTCGACTAAATCAGAGTCGACCATGCTTAGTTATCATTGTAAAATAGTGTAACTCTTCGTCTATTTCGTGTCCCCAGGAACTATTCTACCATATGCAGATACTTGTCGTTTCTCTTTTGTTGACGTTATCGGACATCTGTGCAACTAGTTAGGCCGTTACCTAAGGCTATATACTATATCAGCAAATCGATGTAGGACATATTATTTACACGCCGTCAGTAGAACTGTTTCCTTTCTTGCAGTTCCTGATTCTTAAACGAGAATAAGCTCAGACACTCATTTGCTGTTATAGTCTTAGTGTAATCGTACCGATGAATTTCACTTTAAACAAAAACGTAAATCAAATAAAGTGAAATTAGAAGTACGAATCCTCATGATTTTACCTTGCCAATTGAACATATAAATCTCAGAATTTTATTCAACTCAGGATAACAGTTTTTTAACAAACGATCACAGTTTCAAATCGCTATTGTTGTTTTGTATTACAAGGGGGTATGCACATTAAATGAAACACCGAGAAGAAGTAGGGTTGGTCTAAGTTAACGCTCATCACGTACTGCACGTGCATTTGTACCACTGTTCCAATTACTGCGTTTACTCCCTTGTAATACAAACCAATAAATAGCGATTTGAATCTATGATCGTCTGTTAAACAACTTTTATCCTAAGTTGAATAAAATTCTGAAATGTATATGTTTAATTGGCAAGGTAAAATTATGAGGATTCGCAATCTTAATTTCACTTTATTTGATTCACTTTTTTGTTTAAAGTGGAATTCATCGGTACTTTTTCACTGCAAACAGACTATGGTATACATGTATATATTGTTATGTATGGTATTGACTTGTCATGCACATGACGGACAGTGTCACTACAATGTTTAAAATAGTGTCACCACAAATAGAGCACGTCTTCGTCACACTGAGATCTAACTGTTTGCATATTTGGTGACTCATGCTTCATCATTAAACACCATTGCTGACTCCGGGAACAAAGACATGTTAAACAACACAGAAAACAAATACAGTAGTGTTTTTGAAATCCATAGTCGCAATATGTAAACAGTATGACTGCAGCCTGGAAACCATCGACCAGAAAAACTGGAAACTGATAGTGTGACTGCAGCAAGCCATCAAGTCACTAGATCTGAACACTCTCTGTGTCGCTTGCACGTGTTGCTGCTGACCAACTCTCATATGCAATACCCACGGGGTCATATACACAACAATAAAATGTAAAATATTTTGCTATGTAATCACAACTATTGTTTCAATTATGAATGTGAATTATTGGACGTTACTTTTTTTTCGCCGTCGGTGTGACGTGTAATGCCACTTTGAAACTCTTCGAATCACCACAAGGCAAGTCCAGGGCGAAGTCGATGTTCTGTAATTATCAAAAGAGAATGCATACATTTCTCCTCAAAGCTCGACAATTTCTGTATCCCTGTCAACACTATATATACATACGATAACTAACCATGTTATATATTCAAACGAATAATACTACGCTATGTGTGCATTATAAAAAGTAACTAAGAAGTCATATATGTAGAGAAATGTTTAATCATATAATAATACTAACTGGCAAGAAATATTTATTTATAATTTAGCCTGGTGTTTACTTAACGTTAACACACATATTGGTATTGAGAGCGTAAATAGAAGCAAAGTTTTATGTTTGAATTCTGTGTTTCATAATTTCAGAGGGAATTCTAGAAACATTTTCCCAACTATTTTTTCAAACAATCTACATTCATTTGCGTATTTGAAAAAAAAATACATGGCAGGGAAATAATAATTCTTATTATTTATACAAGATATCTCTCTACAACGTCAGAATAATGTCATGTCCCTAGATACTGTTTACATGACATCTATGCATACATTTATATTGCCAATGCAAATAGACGCTGCTTCATGTATGTATGATATAGTACGTACATGTGCGGCTGTGTTCTGTCTGACTTCTACGTTAGTGGGTTGGTTGTCAAAAGGAATTCATATTAAACATTACTTCTCACTCACTATTCCTTTTCTCTGGTGTTCATGTACAGTTACACGTTATTGGCTTATCAGTTCCAGGACCTACCAGGGTCTACTTCTGCTGGTTCATCTCAGGCCTATTTTGAGGTGATTCTAGATATGTGCTCTTTGGGTCATTGTTGGGTCTTAGTAAATTCTTAGACTCGTGAAGATCCGGGGTAGAAGAGGTCTTCAGCAACCCATGCTTGCCACAAAAGGCGACTATGCTTGTCGTAAGAGGCGACTAACGGGATCGGGTGGTCAGGCTCGCTGACTTGGTTGACACATATCATCAGTTCCGAATTGCGCAGATCGATGCTCATGCTGTTGATCATTGGATTGTCTGGTCCAGACTCGATTATTTACAGACCGCCGCCATATAGCTGGAATATTGCTGAGTGCGGTGTAAAACTAAACTCACTCACACACTAGTAAATTCTTACGTTTAAATCTGGTCGATGTTATTGGGTCAATCTCACCTATCTTTGTTTCACTATCCTTATTGGTACTCTCTTATATTTCATACTCTGTATGGTGATGTAACTTCAGTCGTTGGCAATATATAGCCTGCTTTTATATTGTGTTGTCCTCTATAATAAAAATGTTTTAGATTTAATTGCTAGTTTTACATTTATATCTGTGATGTTCTAGTTGTTCTACTGTCCTCTGTTGACAGGATTTTATAATCTATCATTACTTATTGTTAATCTATAACTTGTTTTAGTCACGATATGGCTGAAATATTGCCTAAGTGACTATAAGTTTTAACTCACTCACTCACTCGTTGGCAATATATAGACTGCTTTTATATTGTGTTGTCCACTATAGTTAAAATGTTTTAGATTAAATTACTGGTTTTACGTTTCTATCTCTAATAATCTAGTTATTTTACTGTCGTTCGTCGACAGGTGTTTGTAATTTAATTCCATTTATTATCAATATATAACTCTTTAAGTCACGATATGGCTGGAATATTGCCGATGTGACGATAAATCTTAATTCACTCACTCATACTCTGTACCACATCTTACCGGGTTGTCCCAAATGTACTGAGCACACGGGCCGACAAAACCGTCCCAATTTCCTGTTGACTGGCAAACTCTGCTATGTTCAGCAGAGCACATCAGGAAGTTGTCGCTGCAAGTGTATACTGCCACCGCTCCTTCGTACACACCATCATAATGCATCGCAGCATTGGCAACAGTAGGTGGAGCATCGCAGCCCTGAAACTCTGCAACTTCAGAATGCAATCATGTAACACTGATTTTACACAGCAATTTCGACACGATCTGGATTTTATCTCCGCGTTTAACTTGTATTAATCATGACTAATGCCTTTGTAATTCGGCAAGCCATAGCATGACATAGCAAGTCTCAAACATCATGTACACTCCGCCGAGGTCCTCCCTATATGCCAGGAAGGGTAACAGAGGTACCATCTGTTTACGTCTTGGTGTGACGCGGCCAGGGATGAAACCACCCTTCGGCACTTGCTCATGCTGTGTTATAGATAAAATGGATGGAATTATCATTAAAACGCCCGCATGTTATCAGATATGAGCAGGCCACTGTAACTTGATAATGCCCCCAAATTGATTGACGACGGGCCATTATCATGCCCGTTGTTAGCTGACGTCATAAGCAGCTTATCTCGTGATGTTCAATCACCTACGGCTCGTTTGAACTTGCGTTCAATATTGACGATATTTCTGACTCACATTCGTCACATGTACCTGTACCATTATGTACTTTCTTGCCGGTGCCAACCTAAACAGTTGTACCATAAATTACAGCATGCAGCCATGAAAACGTCGACTGGAACTCTAACGTTGTTGAGCATTACAAAAAAATGGCAGATTAGTATAGGCAAAAGTCAAGGTCGAATGTCGTCACTCTCGATAGTGACGTCATCTGTTTCCATATTTGTAAAAGTGTGTCAGTGACCTCCGTCATTTGTTAGCAGTAAATGCTTCTAAACCGATACCGTTGTTTCTGTTTATTTTATCAAACATTCCATCCATTTAAGCTATAATAAAGGTAACCCTATTTTTCAGGACATTATCATTTGCAGAAGCAATCAGTCTTTTCAGTTAATGAATGACCTCGGGCTTCTGTAAATGATAATGCCCTGAATAATAGCGTTACCCTCATATCATTTCAGTGCAAGCGAATATGTCTCAGCAAAGGAAAATATATAATAGACCAAAGTGTTACAGCCAATGGCATACCTGTTTCACATGATGCACGTCCCAGTCGATCTAGCTGACATCTGGAAGTCGGACAAGAAGTCTCTGAGCACGCACCAGCGAGTGACTGTTAAAGCAATAAATTCATATGAATATGTGTTTCCAATACACATGGGGGGTGATTAGGATAGCCTAGTGTTTATCGACCGTCTCGGGTACGCTTTCATACATGGGTACAATGTGTGAAGTCAATTTCTAGAGTCTTTTGCCGTTATATTGTTGGAATATTGCCCAAAGCGGCTTAAAACCATACTAATTCACTCACACATATGCACATGACAAATCAGCTGGATGGTCTGCTCAATCATGTGACATGACAAGTAGCTCTCGAAGTTGATTATTTCACTATAATTAATGTATGGGGCTAAATTCTTATGTGACTCTGGATGGTCGTTTTGCTTGTCAATCAGCCACATTTTAAAGACAGATATGGAACCGGACATAATCAAAGTGGATCGTATATCAATCCAAATGCCAAAGACAGTCATGATTATTGGCCAAAACAGACTCAACTCGGAATAATAGGCCAAAATAGTGTGACACTATCAATTCAGTGAGTGAGTTTAAAATTATCGTCGCATCGGCAATATTTCAGCCATATCGTGACGAGAACAATTAATTTTATACACAGAAATTAATGGTAATTTGTAAAAACCTGCCAACGAAGGACAGTAAAATAACTAGATTATCACAGATTCGAATTTAAAACTAGTAATTAAATCTAAAACAATTTAACTATAGATGACAATAGAAGGTAAAACCAGGCTATATACTGCCAACAACTGAAGGTAGATGACCATATTAGGGACCATGGGGACAAACAGTGCATTTGCTTCATGCATGGACCCTAGCTGGATTTACACCATCCCTTCTGCCGTTAGCGGTTTAGACACATTTAGCCATATATTAAAAACACACATATTCTACGATTAAAAATGTTGGATTGAGTTAAATTGACTTTGAAAGTATTTGGACTTACGTACCCTCTCAGGAGGACAATCATTTTACAATACTTCAGCCCCTTTGAGGGTACAGCCACTAACAATCTCAGATACTAATCTAAACTACCAATAATAATATATTTATATATAGTTCATCCCTGAAGACACACCAGGTGTTCATGTGAAAATCTGCCCTTATCAGTGGTTTTGTTGCACCTATTTACCCTTTAGAGTACCCAATAAAATAACCCACCTGCACCCGAGATGTCGAGAAATGTATCCGAGATGTAGAACAAAACAAAAACAGATGATTTAGTTGTTCATTTAAAACATATATTGATCAGTTGAGATCACAACCTTGGTTACAAATGACGACACAGTGCTTATGTCAACAGTAAATCGTAAAGAATGTTTCATAAAACAGAACGCACTTTGCATGACCTCCATTGTCTGTTTGTTCATGAAACTGTCAAGTAAGTAAGTCAAACACAAATCTAACACATTTTTGTTCTACCCCAAGTGTAACTTTGTCCTTGACTAAAACATCATTGATCTGTATTTGGTCCAAGACATTAATCATTTTTTGTTTGAGGTACTTACCGACAGCTTCAAAATATACAGAGAGGAAAACGTAAATAATGTATTGTATATGAAGGAAAACCTCTGTCCATGGGTCTCTCAAAGTAAAGTTGGTTGGTGTTTAACGCCACTCTCAGCAATATTCCAGCAATATGACGGGGTTTATAAATAAGCAAGCCTGGACCAGACCATCCAGTGACCAACAGCGTCAGTATCGATCTACGCAATTGGGACACGACAAGCATGGGTTGCTAAAGACCAATTCTAACCCAGATCTGATGTAACGTTATTGAATAATCTAGCACTGTTTATCAAAGAAGAATTATGTATCCGATTGTCACTACTGTAATAACAAATCTTTACCATGCATCTCTAAAATACGAAAATAAAATGATCTGATCCGTACTTTCTGCTCACTACTCTCGTAAGTCAAGAAAAACAAAGTGCAACATTTTCTACATGCCTGATGTTTTTCCAAATTGAATAAGATTGAATAATATTTACTGATTTTTTAGTTATGCCCTGAAAGCAGAACGTAGAAGCCATACGAATTTCTGCGGGCCACTACAGTCCGATGACATAAACAGCAAGAAATACCTATACCAAAATGAATTTAATGATATTTTGTTCTTTAGAAGTGTCACAAATGATTATCACTACTAAGTGAGCCTTGTGTTTTTTGCAGATATGAATTATTGAGAAGCCAACATTATATTAAAATTACCTGGAACCAGACTACTCCAAGCAAAAGTAGAAAATACGATCAAATATAGCGTCAGGGCAAAACGCTATCCGGTCTTGTCTATCCTCAGAAACAAATTCTGTTTGGTGTAAAGGGAACCATGGCTCTGAGAATTATATGCATGGATGACTGAAAATCAGTGAAGACACCAGGTGATCGCGAAAAGTGTAAGGGTACGCACCTCTTGCCTCACTACATAAATACCATTAACTTCGTGGATACAAAATGCAGACAACAGGCAAAGAGAATATAATGAATACTATTACCCACAAAACTGTACAACACACAAAAAAAGAAATCTTATTTTTTCATAACTTTTTGTTGACTTTAAAATAAAACAAACAATATATAAAGTACGTGAAAACGTCACTGCTACAGGTTTAGACACATTTAGCCATGTATTAAAAACACACATATTCTACGATTAAAAATGTTGGATTGAGTTAAATTGACTTTGAATGTTTTGGGACTTACGTACCCTCTCAGGAGGACAATCATTTTACAATACTTCAACCCCCTTTGAGGGTACAGCCACTAACAATCTCAGATACTACTCTAAACTACCAATAATAAAATATTTATCTATAATTCATCCCTGAAGAGACACCAGGTGTTCATGTGAAAATCTGCCCTGATCAGTGGTTTTGTTGCACCGATTAACCCTTTAGAGTACCCAATAAAATAACCCACCTGCACCCGAGATGTCGAGAAATGTATCCGAGATGAAGAACAAAACAAAAACAGATGATTTAGTTGTTCATTTAAAACATATATTGATCAGTTGAGATCACAACCTTGGTTACAAATGACGACACTGTACTTATGTCAATAGCGAATGGAAAAAAATGTTTCTTAAAACAGAATGCAGACACAACAAGCATGGGTTGCTAAAGACCAATTCTAACCCAGATATTCGCGGGTCGATCATCTAATGTAACGTTATTGAATAATCTAGCACTGTTTATCAAAGAAGAATTTTGTATCCGATTGTCGCTACTGTAATAACAAATCTTTACCATGCATCTCTAAAATACGAAAATGAAATGATCTGATCCGTACTTTCTGCTCACTACTCTCGTAAGTCAAGAAAAACAAAGTGCAACATTTTTCTACATGCCTGATGTTTTTCCAAATTGAATAAGATTGAATAATATTTACTGATTTTTTAGTTATGCCCTGAAAGCAGAACGTAGAAGCCATACGAATTTCTGCGGGCCACTACAGTCCGATGACATAAACAGCAAGAAATACCTATACCAAAATGAATTTAATGATATTTTGTTCTTTAGAAGTGTCACAAATGATTATCACTACTAAGTGAGCCTTGTGTTTTTTCAGATATGAATTATTGAGAAGCCAACATTATATTAAAATTACCTGGAACCAGACTACTCCAAGCAAAAGTAGAAAATACGATCAAATATAGCGTCAGGGCAAAACGCTATCCGGTCTTGTCTATCCTCAGAAACAAATTCTGTTTGGTGTAAAGGGAACCATGGCTCTGAGAATTATATGCATGGATGACTGAAAGGATGATCACCAGGTGGTCGCGAAAGGTGTAAGGGTACGCACGTCTAGCCCCACTACATAAATACCATTAATTTTGTGAATACAAAAGCAGCAGATATAGCTCAGATATGGAATTAAAGTGTTCTGTTCTGTTGTTTTGCATTTAAAAACATCACCGCCAGACTGTCTAACTTCTGACATAATCGTACCTTCGGCCAGTAGCTGATGTCGCTGTAGAGAAATCCTGGTTGGCTTGTGATGGCCACATGGTCGCTGCTGTTGCTGTTGAGTCCACAGGTGCGAGTCCTGGTCTCAAAGTTGAAGGACAAGCAGACTGATGACATCAGACATTCTGAGGCACAGGAATAGACGGACGGTGACTTCACTGTCCTAAATACGTAATGTTCCATATGTGAATCTACCTCCAGAACAGAAGATGCGTCGAAGCAAGTGCCACAGCAGCTTAATCCTACACAAAATAGGACCAGGCCTCCGGTGAAAAGTGTAAAATGCATCTTCCTGATTAAAAACCTAGGAGACTGGTAAGGGGGAGGTATAAGTATTTGACGTTGACGAGCTGAAACCTTTATCCGCCATACTCTTCAGATATTTAAGGTGGTAGCTTGTTACTTCTGCAGCTAACTAGAAACGTAATCAGATCGACATATGCCCATCCTTGTACTAGTTTGCCTTTAAATAACACCATGAACAAATTCCAATTCTGTCTATCCTTGGTTTAAACAGCCCAATACCACGCCCCTTTTAGTAAAAGAGTTTTTAGCCAATATTTCTTGTTTCACTCCTATAACAATACACCTTGGCAATTTGTTATTTTATGTATAGGTCCATACCAGATCCCATCGCCGAAAGCAAGTAAGTAAGAATTGATTCATATAGGAATACAGTCGACACAAAAACTCATATCCTGCAGCAGCTACAATGATTCATTGTCACAAGGATCAATACGGAACTGATGCTAATTGAACAGCTCCATTTACTTCCGACGTCATGAAAAGCTTCGGTTGTCACAGAATAAAAGCTAATTACACTAACCATACACTCGTGGAAACAGGGCGTGGTGTGTAATATATGGCAATATTGTTTTTCCAAACATGACATTCCTTGCCATCTCAACGCATATTGTGTTGGCCAACCAGAATTTATGACAATGGAATCGGCAATTTATATTTGATCTTATGACTCGGGTACAAGCCTCCTTCTAGTTCGAGCAATGTAGATGGCGATATTCTGTATTGTTTTTGGTAATAATGGAATCGACTCTATTGTTTTGGAACCGATTTCTATTGTGCTCATTATGTATGTGAGTGGGTATGGTTTGAACAATATTCCAGCAACATCATGGCGTGAACGCCAGAAAGGTGACATATGTTATATTTGGGATTACACCTTCTTAGTAAAGTACAGATTCTAGTACTTTGTTGGGTTGAGTCCCAACCGGGATTCGAACCCACACCCTCAGAGTCAGGCTCCTATTCGCCAGCACAGAGCCGCCTAACCCGCTCAGCCACCGCGACTTCCACAAAAAAGGAAGTGGGACAACTACTAGTCTAGACTGCCCACTGTGTGTACACTACTGATAAATGTAAATTGGCACGGCTCCCACGACCGAAAGCTATGATTACACAATGCCATTTAGAGGGTGTGGGTTCGAGTACCGGGAGGAATACTAGAATCTGTACTTTTCTAAGCAAGTGTAATCCCATAGATAACATATGTTACATTTGACCACTTTCTAAATGGCATTGTGTAATCATAGCCAGAAATATGCTTCGAGCCTATGTGGGGGATCGAGCTCGGGTCTTTAGTGTGACGACGGGGCCGTGGGATAGCCAAGTGGCTAAAGCGTTCACTGGTCACGCCGAAGACCTGGGTTCGATTTCCCACATAGGTACTATGTGTAAAGCTCATTTCTGGTGTCCCCCGTCGCGATATTGCTGGAATATTGCTAAAAGCGGCGTAAAACCATACTCACTCACTCACTCACTTCAGCTTGACGAGCGGATGCTTGGACTGAACAGAACGTTTCTTAATTTTCATTTACTTCCATAACATGACTGACGACAGCTTGACAAATTCATTATATGTTGATAATGTTTTGGATGAGACATACCTTCCGAGCATGATGCACATATCTATAATAATAACAGAGAGTGTGTCTGTTTTTCGTGATTCTGACAGACTGACATGGAATTAACTATCTGTAGATGCAGAAACAAAACATGATTCGGAACTATTTTCGCAAAGTTGGTTCACAACTATCTTTCTTTTATGCATCTTACGACAACATACGAAACTGGTATCAGGAACTTCCAGATTTCTACTTCCAAAGGGTTGCACGGCTCTCTTTTATGATCTGTCAATATATTCATTGATACAACATTTTCAAATGCGAAAAAGTTATTGCTGTGAGAAATTACAGTCAGGATCTACCCAAAAAGGCTCTTTCTCTTGTTGCTCGCCCTACACTGGGTCAGCTCGTTTTTGAATCAGGTAAAAAACTATACCTGCTTTGCTCTTTTTCCGACAGTTTGAAACGCCGCCACCGGCCTTGAGTATCCGACAAAACAGATTCTGTCGGGCTTAAAGGTAAAACAGCTCTGAAAACTTGCAACCTTCTGTGACCTCATTTAGGCCTTCATCCTTGCACAAAGTGGGTTTTCACACCTCCGCTGAACCCTTTCCTGTGACATGACTCGTTTGACAATTTCCAGGATTGTCAATCGTTGACGGACCCGTGAAGATCCGGCTTAGAATTGATCTTCAGTAACCATGCTTGTGGTAAAAGGTCACTAACGGGGTAGGGTGGTCAGGCCCGCTTACTTGGTTGACAAGTGTCATCGTATCCCAATTGCATAGATCGATGCTCATGCTATTGATCACTGTTTTGTCTGGTCCAGACTCGATATTCACAGACCGCCGCCATATAGCTGGAATACTGCTGAGTGCGGCGTAAAATTAAACTCACTAACTCGATAGTTTACCTACCCGCTGTCAGCGCACATTCCATTTGTCATCATCAACTCCATCAACGGCAGTAGTATTACTGATACTGTATCGTGTTTGAACGGTAGACTGCGCTTGTAACGGTGGACCCTCAAAAGATAGATCGTTATACATATTTCGACTAACGTATACAACAAGAGATCGGGAATAAAAGACACAGTTTGGTATATCCGTTTTTTCGTTATAAACTTCTGCTTGAATAAATTGCAGTTTTGCAGTAAGTTATGAAGTATTTACATGGTATTATGAAACTACAATTGACAAAATAATATGAAACTACAGTCAGTTCGCCACAGACATGAATTCAGTGTTTCAGCTTGAGCGTTTTGTCCGAAGTTAATTTTTTCCGGGCAGTGAATATAACTCACTATACTGAACCGTGACGAACATGACACTTTTACAGTGATGTTGGATTTCAGGAGACCATGCTACGAGAATCTTCATCACTTGGTAGAAAAGTAACATCCCGTAAGCATCTCCCCTTGGGAAACAGAATCTATTCGACTTATTACGTATGGGAGTGTATTAGGGGTACAGTATAATCTACTCAGATGGTGAAAATAAGTCCATCGGCCTATATTACAAGTCATACTACATAATTATAAAAAAATATATATGGAACACCAGTGGTAATGATGCACAAAGGTTTGACTGTATGTTATATTAAGAAACTTGGTACGTTTTTTTAAGTCCTGAGAAGACATACTTTGCAAGGCAGTTTACAATATGAGAATTATAACTTTACAGAGCATAATCGATTTCTTTAGAGATGGAGATGTACGATAGTAGTATGGCAAAATACTTTTTCTTAGATCTGAGTAAAATGGACACTGTGATAAGAAATGAAACCCAGATTCTTGGACAGGTACTATACAGAATGGACATAATGTATCTTCTGGTGTAATATTATATTTTCTACCAACTTCAGTCATTAGATTATGATTTGAGCAACAGAATTTGCAAAGAGCAATGCGATATGCATAATTGTAAACCAAAAGTCACCGTGTTCTTTAATCTGATTGGTTGAAAAACGTGATCAAATGGTTTCGATTCCGGAAATTGCAAGACTATTCACTGCGTATTGACAAGTACAAATATGGCACACAATTGTATTGTTGCGTCGTCAGCAGTGGGGACGTCATTAAAATCATACTGTGACTTAAAGTCGGAATGACGTCACAAATGAGCAGTTCCAGATGCTACCATGCGAACCAGCTGAAACGGCCAGCTGATGACACTTCACTGCTGTACCCGTACTCGACGTAAATGACTGTAGACAGTAAAACCCATGTGGGCCTTTTGGTTTACTTTTGTGTTTACAATGTCGATATACACATCATGTGTTGGCCAATGTCCGGGTGTTACTGAGTATTTGAGGCACGGGAATATCTCATTTGAAACCAACACATGATGTTTATCTCCTATACATTTACCGATGATACGTAGTTTTCATACATGTGAAATTCTTTCTTCTACGCTGTGATAAGGTAGGATGATCACAGGGTTTTGGATTACATACCGATTCTTACCGTTTTGGTTATTTGTATGAATCTTTAAATATCTCACATAACTCGTTACTGTATGTTGAAGAGATCATCACTTGACCAGTATGTATTCATTTGCTTCCGTAGAGATCAAGAATAGTTGTTGATCCTGTCCAGGTATAAAAAAAACGAGTTTTCAGTCTGATTTTGTTTATTTCTGTTTTAAAAAATTGAAAACACAGAACTGCGATTTAAATCATAATTCCAAGGAAAGTAGAAACGTTTTTAGTTGGGAGTACATCAGTTTCAATGTCTAACAGTTGTGTTTAAAAAGATTGATTTGTGGTTAGACAAGTAAGCAAAATGTATCTAATGAATAGGATTATTCCATGTTCTCTCATCACGTGACAGGGCAAATGGCACATTGAATTTTCTCTATTCAGGATAAAATTAATTTGGGAAATGTCGGAAGACTAAGCCATGTTAGAGGCCGTGGACGAAGCTGTTGGTGGGGATCACGGTGTTACTGTTGAAAGTGGTGCTGGCTACAGCAATAATAGTAATTGAGGTGCTTGATGGAATGTATGATACAAGGAAACACTTCCAGAGCAGTGTGTAATGGATAATTCATATATACACGGTTGGAACAGTTTCTTAGAAACCGTAATACTCTTACTAAAAACAACCCCTAAGATAATACTGACAATATATATATTCATATATTTAAGCATGTGTCATCGTACAAATATAATTTAAGCACAAATATGATTTGCTTAAGAACACACATGATGGAGAGCCTGTCATGAAATGTGAGATGCAATGGGATGTCACGTCGATGTGATGAAGTGAAAGGGTATGTCACGTCGATGTGATGAAGTGAAATGGGATGTCACGTCGATGTGATGAAGTGAAATGGGATGTCACGTCGATGTGATGAAGTGAAATGGGATGTCACGTCGATGTGATGATGTGAAATGGGATGTCACGTCGATGTGATGAAGTGAAATGGGATGTCACGTCGATGTGATGATGTGATGAAGTGAAATGGGATGTCACGTCGATGTGATGTGATGAAGTGAAATGGATGTCACGTCGATGTGACGAAGTGAAAGGGTATGTCACGTCGATGTGATGAAGTGAAATGGGATGTCACGTCGATGTGATGAAGTGAAATGGGATGTCACGTCGATGTGATGATGTGATGAAGTGAAATGGGATGTCACGTCGATCTGATGTGATGAAGTGAAATGGGATGTCACGTCGATGTGATGAAGTGAAATGGGATGTCACGTCGATGTGATGAAGTGAAATGGGATGTCACGTCGATGTGATGTGATGAAGCGAAATGGGATGTCACGTCGATGTGATGAAGTGAAATTTGGATGTCACGTCGAGTTCAAGCTGACTGCACTGAGTACGACGGTGTTTCCTTGTAGTGTCATGTCCGAATGCCAAGCAGGTGACTGCAAGTCACATCTTGTAACGTCTTTTTGGATATTGGATGATGTCTGAACGGTTATATACACGAATGATGTCATATTCTCCTATAGCTAAAGTCATCAAAACCATTTGCAAACCATGTACAAACACTCTGACGATATACGACTGCGATGGTGTAAATATATTTGAATATTTTTACTGGTAGTGAAAAATATATACAAATTATGTACAAGGTTAGCACAGAGCTTACTTTGTTTTGTGCCCTTGAGCACCTGAAATAAACCTTTGGGCGAATTTTCCCCTTCGTCTCTTCACCTTCCCGTGAAGATCCGGATTAGAATTGGTCTTCAGGAACCCATGCTTGTCGTAAGAGACGACTAACGGGATCGGGTGGTCAGGCTCGCTGACTTGGTTGACACATGTTATCGGTTCTAAATTGTGTAGATCGATGCTCATGCTGTTGATCAATGGATTGTCTGGTCGATAATTTACAAAACGCCGTCATATAGCTGGAATATTGCTAAGTGCGGCGTAAAACTAAACTCACTCATTCACTCGTCTCTTGACCAAAGTTAATATCAGCCACAATCACGAAACCTGGATTTTGTCATAAATATCAACAAGAGGTGAAATAATTACACAACACGTGCTGGCTGGCTGACAGTAAAAAAATATACCATACAGTGTTGGGAATGACTGACCTTGATTATATTAAAAGGTACAAGTAATTGCAATAAAGTCGTTCTTGACATTAGTTACCATGGATACGTAATTGCAATAAACCTTTGGATCATTTTCTATACACACTAGCACGCACACACACAGGTGCACACATACATACATACATACATACATACATACATACATACATACATACATACATACATACATACATACATACATACATACATACATACATACATACATACATAGTCACGCACGCGCGCGCACACACTCACAATCATGTCCATTCTTCCCATGCCCCCTTCCTCTCCGACACTTTCTCCTTTACTAAAACCGTCATATCTTATCACTCAGGTTTACTGTCATCAACCTTTTCAACATTATCCAGCTTGATTTCATCGAAAGCTACACTATCCGTCATGTCCAGTGTTGGATCACTAGTGGAGTTATCCAGTCCCTGCTCATACGGTTTAGACTGCGCGTTTCGGTTGACTATGTATTGTCTTGCAACAGCTGTGATCTTCCTGTGGTTGAGTACAACGACGACAACAATGATGACAAACACAGGCACGCCAGCACAGACACCAACTACGAGAGCTAGAGGAAAACCAGGATCTTCAGGAGAGAGGCCAACTGTTGTTTGTGTTCCGACTGGTCGGGGTGTATCTGTCGACGAGAAACATATTCATTAATTCATCAAATATAGCCTTTAAAAGTTTGCTTTGGTTTGGTTTAACCCGTTAATATCTTAAAGGGATTAATGTATTGAAAAGGGTTCTAATCGTACAAAGTAAGTGACATTGTATTGCCTAGTTCATGCTAAATACCAGAATGACTCGTCTTGACAGGCAATTTCATATTATTTTATTTTATTTCATTTGTTTTTTATATTCTTAACAAAAAGAAATCGTTAATCATTTCATTAACAACTCAATTTCCCATAAGAGTGACAATATTGCAGGAGCATTGCAGCTGGAACAGCTTTGTAGGTGTTTGTTCAAATCATCTGTGCCACCACAGGCAAGCTAACCTGATTTGTGTTTGGTCTGCACTCAAGAGGATCTCAGATTATTATATTACATGTTACGTTATCATTGTAAGCACACATAACTGAACACAACTCCTGCAGTCGAAGCAGTGAACTTGAAACAACTCTGCCATCATAACAACATTGTAAGTCAAGCTAGATGTACAAACTAAGTGGTCATGTACCCCAAGAACCTGAATTGTCTACATGAATGTTCAGCTCGTAAATTCACGTGCACCTATCAGCCAAATATGTCTGCGTGACATGATTTATCTTCCTACCTCTTGCCATGACGTTTCGTGAGAGGACTTGCTAGTTGTTTGATCGGCATTCTAGAAGTTGGTGTGTTAATTATGAAGCATACAGCTTTACGGACGACAACGGTGTAGATTCACTAAGCTAAAACGAAAACTTGATAACGGTCTAAGAATCTACACCGAAACATCGCTTTATGCAATAAAGAAGAAGTTGTCATCTATAAAGTTGTATGTTTCATTACGGACAAGCGAGGTATGAAACATCTACTTTTGGGTCTACATGGGTATAGGTGACGACCTTACCTGTATGGTTTAGTTTAAAACAGTGGTCGATTAAAATAGCATATCTAACTTGTATAGCTCATTGTTTTGCTGTATAAAGTAATAAATATACAACATGGACAAAAACTATCACCGGATGCCAGGATCCACAACGGTCCAAGAAAATTGAAAATGTCCTGAAGATTCTAATCAATAGAATATATACAACAGTTACTTTGAAAATGTCCACGCGATCCGTCTTCACAGGGAGTCTGATCAAAAGATCGAATTTAATCGCCACTTAAGACAAGAACTTGGTGCCGGAGACGTATTCATCGCGTGTATGAATGCATGTAAACAACCCAAACAAATCCATTAAATGTTGCAACACTCATGGTCCAAAAACCTACCCTCAGTTTGAGACATGACCATTGATCCGTTGACACATTCTTACCGACGAATCGATCGCCGCCTTTTAAACATTTTATAATTTCTTGATGAACAATGCCCCGTCTCTTTTCCTCAATCACCAAACTTCATGAACACACACGTTAAATGTCGTTTGACCTAGTTGGTTTTAAGTATAACACGTAAGTGCAAAATAATATCCAACTATCCTGGGAAACAGATTCCATTTGGTGTTAAGAGCAAAATAGCTGTGTAAGTTGTATGAATTAACATAGGAACTCCATGACACCATGGGTTCAAGTAAAGTCTAACGCTGTCCTGCCTTACTGGTTGTCCCAAGCCACAAATTGTCATAAAAGAATATCCCTGCCTTAACTACCCCGAGACACAGATTCCATTTGGTGTTAAGAGCAAAATAGCTGTGTAAATTATATGAATTAACACATAAATATTTTAATTATATCAATTAACACATTATTTTAATCATATGAATTAACACGTTAATATTTTAATCATATGAAATAACACATTATTATTTTAATCATATGAATTAACACATTAGTATTTTAATCATATGAAATAACTAATTAGTATGTTAATCATATGAATTAATGCATTAATATTTTAATCATATGAATTAACACATTAATATTTTAATCATATGAATTGACACATTAATATTTTTCATCATATGAATTAACACGTTAATATTTTAATCATATGAATTAACATATTAGGAAATCAATGACACCAGGTGACCACACATTGCCTTAAAAGGAAGTATCTACAGCACGATGTCTCACATCAGGACTCCTACCAGGCGACAACAGGCAGTAGCGGCACCGTAATTCACACGCATCCCCACGAACAGAGTGAGTGAGTTTAGTATTACGCGGCACTCAGCAATTCCAGCTATATGGCGGCGGTCTGTAAATAATCGAGCCTAGACCAGACAAACCAGTGACCAACGGCATGAGCATTATTTGCGAACCGATGACATGTTTCAACCAAGTCAGCGAGCCTGACCATCCGACCCCATTAGTCGCTTCTAACGACAAGCATGGGTTACTGAAGATCAATTCTAATCCGGAACTTCACAGGTCGACAGGCTACAAACAAAGCAAACAAAGAAGTGATCGATGGACCAGATTATATAAGTCTGAGTTACGACGGATGCGTTGAAGGTCAAACAAAACTCGGTTGACAAGTAAAGAAAAGCGTTTTGAAATAGATTTGTTGGGGTCTGTGCGTGCACCTGAATTTGGTCCATCAATATTTGTTACTCTAAGATATGGGAAAGCACTTTCATCTTTGCCAATGCACAACATGTTTTTCTGAGGATGTCTTACTTGAAGGCTTAGTTGATCGAGTCGTCGTCGCCACGCTTGTCGTAGGGAGCTCTGTGCAATGAAATGTCAAATTATGAGCCGAATAAAACAGTTTGAACAATGTCTTTTGAACGATGGGAATCACACGAAGATTTTCGGACATCTTGAAGTTGTTGCTGATGTACACCTGGAACATTGCAACCAAATAACAGCTCTACTGCTGGAATTTTAACCAGATACTTCTTGATTTCTACCACTATCCCTTCAGAATGTCTTACCATTATAAGTAGCATTCAAATCATAATAGTTTTAAAGCATCAAGACATATCACTGAAAATAGATCAAATGTTTTCAGAAAAGACACAAAGTCCTCACAAGCACTTTAGATCTTAAACCATGTACGTTCCATGTACATACTGTTAAACATTCTTGACAACATGGTACAGTCAGAATGTTTGTAGAAAACTATTGGGATAAATAGGGGCCAGGATTCTAAGATTAACATATCTTCCACTGTTAATTACTATTCAGTAAAACTCTTCGGTAATATATTAAGTACAAACAACGAGGATACCTTGTTTATCTTATACATACATGACGAGGCTAAATATTTACGACGATCTCACCATGAATGGTCTCTGTACCAAATGCAAAATAATGCTAAGAAAAGCATTTTGTTTGCATCCCTGTACTAAACAGTTTTGAGTTACTGATTTGCCTGAAACATCCAAAGTAATATTGATTATAAAAATCTGTTTGTTTATTTGTGTATAGTTTAACGCTGCACTAAGCAATATTCTAACAATATGATGGCGTTCTGTAAATAATCGACTCTGGGCTAGAGAGTGATCAATATCATGAGTATCGATCTGGGATGTGTTAATAAAATGCGGGAATAAATCCACTTATAATATGTTGAAATAGGACGGTAAATAAATAATACTGTTGACAATATGTTGTCATATAACGGGAATATTCTGAGGCGTTTAAAAACACACAAACAAGCAAGAGAATATTAAACTAAATGTCATTTAAGTACAGTAAAAGTCAAAGATCCAAAGTAGAGGATAGTGGTTGCGGAATATTTACAGGAGGTTTCCAGGGATGAAGACAAGGATATTTTCCATGTTTTTTTGGTTACGAGTGTTTGGCATACTGACTTTTAACAAGCTCCTTGATGCCATCGCAGACCAGGTCCAGGTCGTAGTTATCACAGGAAAACTTGACAAGAACTTTTCCGAATCTCTCATTTGTGGTATTGAAGGTCATGTTTAAGATCTCGCTTGCAACGTTGTCTACTTCATGCCCAACGTGCAGGACTTCCTCGACCCGACCAGTGGTTAGGTTGAACCCGGCCTGTTCAGAACAGTAGTAGTTCCTGATGTCAACTGACAGCGTGACCTCTGTACCAAGTTCAAGGTCGTCTGTTTCAACATCACTGGTGATGTTACAAGTAGGCGGACCTTAAATACAGAAGCAGTTCCGGTGCGACACTTTCAACGCCGTCTTCAAGGTCATCGAAATCATATACACTGATGTATAAACATCACACACAGACACAGACACACACATAAAGAATGAATGAATGAATGATTCTTAGAAATACACAAAAATAAAGCAATTTGAATAAAAGGATTATTAGACTACAGTTCGCATGAATTTATCTCAGAAACCACTTGAAGAACAGGGTTGAAATTCTAATTCCAAAGTAATATTATTTACAAACAATCTGTTTGTTTGCTTGTGTATTGTTTAACAGCGCACTAGACAATATTCCAGCAATATCACTGCAGTCTGTAAATATTTGCCACGGGGTTAAGACCTACCTGGGGCTGCAAATACATAATATTGTTGACAATATGCTGAAATGGGACGGAAAATAAATAATACTGTCAACAATATGTTGAAACAGGACGGTAAATAAATGATACTGTTAACAATATATTGAAAAAGGACGGTAAATAATTAATACTGTTGACAATATGTTGAAATAGGACGGTAAATAAATAATACAGACAGAAAATGTAATGTGGACACATTGAAGCATATCATGGTATCCCCTTGTGTAGATCGATGCTCATGATGTCAGACAGTAAATTCAGTGGTCTTCGCTCGATTAATTTACAGAACGCCATCAAACACCGGGAAAATGCCGAGGCGTTGAAAAACAAACACACTAACAAACAAACACGGGAAACATAATGTCAAGTGGAATATAGTGAAAGTCAAATGTCGAAAGAAAAGATTAGAGGTTGCGGAATATTTACAGTAGGTTCTCTACAGGAGGGCTATCTTCTATGTCTTTATGGTTACGAGTGTTTGGCATACTGACCTTTGACAAGCTCCTTGATGCCATCGCAGACCAGGTCCAGGTGGTAGTTATCACAGGAAAACTTAACAAGAACTTTTCCGAATCTCTCAGTTGTGGTATTGAAGGTCATGTTTGAGATGGCTCTTGAAACGTTATATACTTCATGCCCAACGTGCAGGACTTCCTCGACCCGACCAGTTGTTAGGTTGAACCCGGCCTGTTCAGAACAGTAGTAGTTCCTGATGTCAACTGACAGCGTGACCTCTGTACCAAGTTCAAGGTCGTCTGTTTCAACATCACTGGTGATGTTACAAGTAGGCGGACCTGTTGAATGAATGAATGAATGAATGAATGAATATTAAAAAAGAGAATAAATAGATAATATATTTATAAAAACACAGCATTTTGAATACAAGAATGACAAGACTAGAGACGTGAATTTGTCTCAGTAACAACGTGAAGAACCGGGATGAAATTCTCTTCAGAATCCATGCTTGTTGTAAGATGCAAATAACGTTATTGGAAATCAGGCTGGCTTACATGGATGCTATTAGCTGATGGTCATAATAACAGTCAGACTATTTTATTGGTTCAGATTCGATCATTTGAAGATCGCCGTCATAAACTGGACAGATGCCGAGTCTGGCGTTAATCAACCAACATTCCAATCCTCTGCGTTACACACTAAGTTCCTCATTTACCCACGAATACAATTTAATATGGCGACAATGTGGTGGCAGTATTGCGGGAGGTGAGTGGAAATCTTACACATGACCTCTGATATAACAGAGCAAGATAAAAATCTATGAATTTCGTTTATTGTAAAATAGGTGGTTAAAATATTTATTCCTTCAAAGTCTGGAATTTCTAGGGGTGAATAATCATGAGTGCAGGACAGCTAGAGGTCGGGCAGATACATACGATAAAAACAATGTCAACTGAATTTCCGAAGTATTGTAACAGCTTCAAGTTGAGAACACAGGAATAGCTCTACGATGGAGCCAAAAACACTCTATGTGTTAGAGCTACTTACTCTTTAGCAACTGTTTTACGCCAGTACAAGGAAGATCCCAGCTGCTATTGAGGCAGGAGAAGCTGAGCAGGACGTCCCCGAGACTTTGCAAAGTAACATTGAAGGTGCTGTTTAGTGTGGCATTGGTGTAGTCGGTAACGGTTTCATTCTGGAGCAACGTGTCGGTGATGTCACCAGTGGTAAGTTCAAAGCCTGCTCCGCGGGAACAGAAGTAGTTGCTGACGTCCACTGTGAGTGAAAGGACTGTTCCTTCTTCCAAGGAATGTGGGTCTAGATCACTGCTTATGTTGCACGTTGGCAGATCTGGAATGTGAACCGCTGAATACAGTAAGGCATTTACTGCTGCTGGACATAAAAATGTATCCACTTGAATAATGGATTGATTGTTCGTTTGTTGTTTAACGCCTCACTCAGCACTATTCCAGCTACATGACGGCGGTAAATAATATAGCCTGGACCGGGCAATTCAGTGATCAACAGCATGAGCATCGATCTACGCAATCGGGATACGAAAACATGTATCTACCAACTCGGCGAAACTGACCATCCGAACCCGCTAGTCGCCTCTTACGAAAAACATTGGTTGTTGAAGACCAATTCTAACCGGGATATTGATACTGATATACAAATAAAGTCGGTAAACAACAAATAAGTGAGATTTGAATGAAGCTGTGGTAGAGAAATACATTGACAATATCAACAAATGCACGGAAACCAAAGTAAAAAGCTCACAATCACTAATGCAGCTGATCTGAGCTCACAAGTATATATTCCTACAGCATGGGATCTCAAACAGCAGAGCAAATAGCGAACTGTTTATATTGTAAAGCCCAGACCTAACTATCCGAATAAGCCAGATCGTTAATATGATCGTCTCATTGCATTAATTGCAATACACAAATATTTCTGGAATATGGGACATCCTCGGCATAACAAATCACAAAGGACATGACCGTCTCATTGCATTAATGGCGATAAAAAATATAATCCAAATCCTGTTATCAATATAGAATGCCAAACAAGAACGGGAAGGCCACTTTCAACATGTGCGCACCCCGCCAGCAAGACATTCCTCTGGAGCTTGCCATGGACAGGAAAACTTGGGACGGTAACAGACAAATCAAGGTTTGGCCTCCACATCACGGATGTCAGGAAAGGTTGTTGGCAGCATAGAAGAGAGGGATGTGACAGTGCAGGTCTTGACCATAATCGGATTTTGGGTGGTAGAGTCATTTTGTGGAACGTGATAACACGTGACAGACAACAAGAGATTATTGTTGACGGATATTTCACTGGACAGGACATGTTGACGAAATTTCGTGTCCTGGCGTTGACTCATTCACTGAAATCAGCAGCACTTTTGACATAGGAGAGCACAAAGAGGGGCGTAGCTACCATTACGAAAAAGCCCAGGCTTTCATGATTGTTGCTAAAAAGGTTGGTCAAGCCCTCAATACTATCTAAATATAAGGCCTTGTAACCTATCGGGCTTACACGAAAACATTGGCTTGCTACGCGCCTGAAAAAACCCAGATGAAATCGTGCCTTGGTCGTTCGTGATTATCTCCGACGGCGTGCGGACATAAGGCTGAGTGTTAAGACTCCTGACGGCACTCAAACAGAATGTCTTTAACATCATCTCGGGTGAGAGTCTCTACACCAGAGACCCAGCACCCGTAACCGTGGCTCCTCTTGTAGCAGCTCTGTTGTCAGGCTTTAAGCAGTACCGAGACAACCAGCAAGAACAATCAACAATATGAGTGAGTGAGTCAGTTTAGTTTTACGCCGCAATCAGCAATATTCCAGCTATATGGCGGCGATCTGTAAATAATCGAGTCTGGACCAGACAATCCAGTGATCACCAGCATGAGCATCGATCTGCGCAATTGGGAACCGATGACATGTATCAGCCAAGTCAGGGAGACTGACCACGCGATCCCGTTAGTCGCCTCTTACGACAAGCATGGGTTACTGAAGATCAATATTCTAACCCGGACCTTCACGGGTAATCAACAACATGACGTCAAGTTACATGTACATGTATCACCAAACATGGAAGAGACATCAGATATTGATCTTCACTTCCAAAACTATTATACAGACATGTATTATCATTTGACTTTCACTATAATTCTACCAGTTTCCTAATTATTGTAGATAAAACATTCATAAAACCATTAAACTGCAAATACTTTGGGTATCAGTTTGAGGAAACTAAACGATACATAACACCATGTGTTGTACAGGACATAATATACAGCTGTAAATATGATGCGCGTAAATTGTGTATTAAGCTGCATAGGCAATGTTGGAGACAGCATATAAATTATACTGCTCAAAGAAAGATCCACAGAATATAAGGGACGATAAAAGTAATAAAACACCAGTCCTTCATAGTACACAGATAACAGCACAGACTCATATTCTGAATGTAAAACTATTATTTGATCATTAATAAATACGCTAAAATATACGGAATTTCGGAATATTTTAGCATCTTACAAACTTTGACCAATCTGTGTAGAATCCTCACATTGTCATTGTGCATAAAATGGTTGATGGACATTCATCTTTTGAGCATATAATAAAATAGAAGAGGTTGATACGAAAACGTAACAACGTACCCAATATATACATGTAAACTTCATACTCACTGGCTGTCGTTAGATCACATACTGGAGCTGATGCTTCTTTAGTTGCACCGTTGAATTTCCACAATCCGGAGTCAGTCTTTGAGGTATGATTTATATGCAGGGTAGAATGTGTGGTATTGTAAGTGGCACTGTAAGTGGCATTGTAAGGCCACGTTTCACTGCAGTCGGGGTTGCAGGTGACGACGTAATCGCCGCCGTTGGGACGTACCCAGAAAAACCCAGAAAAGTTCTGTCTGTTCCCTGTTATTTCATACGCTGATTCCCACAGGGCCACTCCGGGACATGGAGTTGCTAAAAATGTCAAAAAATGTTCATCATCATCATCATCATCATCATCATCATCATCATCATCATCATCGTTGTCGTCGTCATTATTGTTGTCATTGTCGTCGCCGAATGGTTGAAGCATTATCTCGTCATGCAGAACACTTGGGATGGATTCTCTGCATGGGCACTATGGGTTAAGCCCATTTCTTGTGTCCCCTGCCGTGATATTGCTGGAATATTGCTGAAGGCAGGGGACACCAGAAATGTGAGTGAGTTAGTGAGTTTAGTTTTACGCTGCACTCAGCAATATTCCAGCTATACGACGGCGGTCTGTAAATAATCGAGTCTGGACCAGACAATCCAGTGGTCACCAGCATGAGCATCGATCTGCACAATTGGGATACGATGACATGATTGTGTAAACCCAGTGAGCGAGCCTGACCGCACGATCCCGTCAGTCGCCTCTTACGATAAAGACATATTTATTCATAGACTAACATCTAGTCTCTGAAATGTATATTTTACAAATAAACCCATAGAAAAAATGTCCTCAATTATAATCATAAAATATATTGAAAAGGAGCCCAGAGACTTTCTTCCCGAAATTGTGGAAATCTATACTTGCCAAATATTCTAGACTTGCATGGGTTTTCTTTGAGAAATTTGTTCCAGCGTCTTCATGACAGGCTTCCAAACTCAATGTAAAGTTGATCTGCTGGTATCGTACTATTTGCGTACATGGTTATATTATGTGGCGGCGGTGTGTAAATAATCATCGAATCTCGACCAGGCAATCCAGTGATCAACATTATGAACATCGACCTACACAACTGGGGTACAATGACATGTGTCAACCAAGTCTGCGAGTATGACCACCCGATCCAATAAGTTGCCTCTTACGACAAGCATGTGTTGCTGAAGATCCAGATCTACATGGGTTTGCGGACACCATGATCTTCATAATATGACAAGGTGGATTCCACAAAGGTGGTCTGTTAACGTTTCTGGTCTCTCATCCCCATCTAATGCAGGTACGTCATAATTCAATACTTTGAAGTACAGAGTGTTGCTTGTCCATTATAGTGGACAGTGTGGTTCTGTGCATAGAGCTCAGGTCACAAATAAGTTGAACTTACGCAACGTAGGGCGCGGAGAGGTCTTGGATGGGTGACCGTGTTTGGCAGCTTGACCTGAGAGTTTCCAGGACTTCAGTCCAGTCCAACAACGGAGAACATGTCATACATGTGGTCTCACCTTACGCAAGTGAGGTTGTCCAAAATTGCCTCTGTTCACCCAGCAGAATATGGGTACCCGGTAAAATATGTGGCCGATCAGGCAGCTTGGGTTATACGGGGTAATAATAATGATCTGACTGTTTGGGCGCTTCGAGCATGCAGTGTGCATGGAGCAATGCGCTTGATAAATAGACTATTATTATTACTGGCCATTCTTTCCATGTTATTACAAACAATGATAATAGGCGGCATTTGCCTGAAATATTTAGGATGAGGGGCAGGTTTCAGGAACGCAATTATGAGAACACTATGCCCAAATGAAAGGAAATAATTCATTGTCTAGACAGGATCAATCATATATGTCTCAGTTGTCAGATAAAGTTTAAGTAACTGATAATCAGTAATATAACCAATAGGGCTGGGACGATACACCATGTCGCGATATTTTACCTGTGATATGATACGTATCACGATGCATACACCTTGAAAGAATTACACAGTATTAAGGTTTAAAATAATGTATTTCAAGGTATTTGTGTATAACAATAACATTATTGTAGTAAACAAACGAGTTACTCTATCATATATGCTTCCTAGATAAGTACTTTAACATGCTTAGGATAATACTGTTTTGAAAAACGCTTTGCATCGGTACCTCAGACGACGATACGATAGCTGTGAAACTTAAATGTATCGTGATGTATCGGTGCATCGGTGAATCGTCCCTGCCCTAATAACCAAAATGGACAAGATTTTCAGAAATATGTCCATATGAAGGTAGAAATAAGCGGGACACTCTTTCTTGACAGCAGCCCGCGTTTCCCTCTCGACCAACTCACGTGAGAATTCAGCTTCAACAACCCATGCTTGTCGTAAGAGGCGACTAACGGGATGGAGTGATCAGGCTCGCTGACTAACTTGACACATGTCATCGTATCCCAATTGAGTAGATATATGCTCATGATGTCGATCACTGGTTTGTCTGGTCCAGACTCGATTATTTACAGACTGCCACCATGTAGCAGATATTGCGGAGTTCGTGGGCGTTTAACAAGCCAAACAGCCAAACCAACCCTTTTGACCTTTCATCACTTCTCGCCCATTTCCGTAAAGTCCGAGAAGACTTTCCCTGAATAATTCGAGTTGGTCACGAATGCGTTTCGACTGGTTCTCTGGTCCGTTGCCTTTTCACGTCATAAGCGCCTGCTTATCAGTTGGGTCACAGGCAAGCTTGCGTATATTGCGATATGAGAGACGGGGCCCTGCGTCATTCACAAACGCGGACATCACAGAGAAAGCGTCAACGGTGTTGTTGAGACGGCGCAAATGATTGACCGAGCGCTTCATGAACCCAGATACGTTTTGTGCGCCAAGACGTCAGTTTGATCGATTTTCATTTGAATCGATTTATGAATTGTCGGGTGCAGTCATTTGCATTTGAAGTTTTGATTGTTTATATACGCATGCCAATAACGGTTGTCACCCCCTTTAACTTTTTTAATTGGGGATGGGGTGGGGGTGTGAGGTGTGTGTTAGGTTGGGTTGGGGAGGGGGGTGACAACTATTTTTGGCATGAGTGTAGTTTTAACGCAAATAGTATCATTTTAATCGTTTGCCTACGGTTATGATCACAATTTGTCTAGTCTATTGTGGGTATAAGGGATGTCAGTTTAGGTCCAAAGATCTTTGCTCAGTGCCATTGTCTGGTTTTAGTTCTTTGTCCAGTGCAGACCCATGTGTTGATTATTTGTTTTAAAGACATCTTCCTCGTCGGCCACTGTCCTCAAAATAGCCAGACCACATATCAGAGTCGCTACCAAACTCTGTCGAGATTTTTCTACCATAAAATATGGTTTAATCAATATTTCGCTTCGATCTTATTTTCGATATTTTAATTATTTTCTATTTCTTTGACTAAAGTTTCTTGAATTTCGAGTATATTTCCTCATAGAGGACATGAACACATGGAGATGCTGCTGTTTGTTGTTTTGTTCAGTTAAGGGTAAGCTTCAAATTCTGTCTGTTTGGCTATAGTCTCCGTAGCATGATTCTTCAGGGTAAAGTAAGGCCAGAAATGCTTGGAAAATGCTTTTTGGCTTCAATATCAATATGATGAAGTTGGCACAAGATAAAAACACATATATGATACATGTACGACTCTACCTAGTTGGATATTAAAGCTCAGGTGAAAAAAATGCACTTGAGGGGTGACTTCACAGGAGGAAATTTTGACGCTTCAACAACATTCTTAAATATTCTAAGTACAAACTGTAGTTTTGAAATACAGACTATAACTATTCATGTAGCCTCCACTAATTAAATTTCATAAATGATTGTAATTTAAAAAAAATAAATTAACATCTATATGTGGAAAAGATGAAACTCTTGTAGTAGTTATATTCAAAATAATTACGTAAAAAGCCTTAATTCAAATCGGATTGATAGTCTTGTTCACCCATAGAAGTTTTACCTCGTGTATGAGCATTGAACTGGCAACATGCAACTTGATATATCTGCAGAACAATTAATTTCAAATTTATATCAGTATTTCGTACTGGAGAAACAAAGGGGGAAACCCCTCGTCAGCTATGGCAGGGTTTACTATAGAATGTGTAAAAGCCCTTAATTTGACATATAGTCTGGGTTTACAAAGTTGTAAACAAATCAGGGTCGTGTCAAAATCAAAACCAGATAGAAAACACAAACTGGATAGCTCTGATAAGGTAGACATACGGGGTGCAGTTTATAAACTGTATGAACGCAAACTCCCACAGACGTGTGCAAAAATACAAGATGAGATCAAAGATACAATAAATGTCCTGTTGTAATTCCGCTAGAGTCTTCCACCAGCAGCGATACTGACACTTGATATTTTGAGACGGTCCCTGATATGTACTGCCCGTGCATTACATAACGCTGTCACCCTGTCTGCCTGCCAGGTGGGTCAAAGTATAGTTTGTTTCCTAGAAGTGATTCTACTATGGATTTTTTCGATAATTTACGAGTAATCGTTATGATTAAGGAATGGCACATTGTGATTACTCATATGCCATATTAGGTCGACGTGGTATGAATGATTATATATGAGTTTTGAATCTGAAATATCAACCATTATCAAATCATTGCCAAAAAGCATTTTCCAAGCATTTCTGGCCTTACTTTAGTACCATCTACAGAAGTCCTCGATTTGTTTACTTGCCGCAAAATTTGAAGACTTCTGAATTCTACAAAAGGTAATGTCCTTCAGAAACACGTTACCTTTACTGTGTTGCAAACTGTACCTTTCAGTCTGTGTGCCATCACTTGATTGCCAAAAGGTCAGTATATTCATATTCCATTCTTTATGGTATTTCCTTCGTTTTATTGTTCTCTCTGTATGGCGTCCAAACGTTGATAGTTGTGATCCATAGCGCAGATTTACTTTGTGTTCTTGACGAACAATGTAATCTCAAAAGTTCTCGACAGGAGTGTTGCTAAAAGCGGCGTAAAACTAAACTCACTCACTTCAATTATGCTGTGGGGTTTGACTTTGTGTGTGGACGATTTGGTGTCTCAGTTTGTGAGTATGAGTTTGAATCCCGGATGGGACTTACCTTAAAGAAGTATCGTAGTGTATACTTCTTCATGTTTCATTTGACATCTTTGCAATAGCGCTGTGTATTCTTTGCCAGTGTGAGATACATATTATCTAACTCACCTGTTATAATCGGAACGGAACAGATGGCAGTGAAACACAGCAGGACGTCAAGGGTCATCATGTTTCTGTAGCACAGCAGCTGGAGATAAATAAATCGTTATGTTAATCATTTAATCATTGTTTGGTGTGTCGTCGCAGTCGTTCCCTTTGTCCTTCTCCATAGGAAAATACTTAATCTGTGTCTGTTCGTCTATCTGTTGAGTACTATCACAGTCAGCAATAGTCTAGATATCTGGACTAGACGATCCAGTGATTGACATGGTTTTTGCTCTATGCTCGTTTGGATACGGTTACGCCAATCAAGCAAGTCAATGACCAGATCACTGGTCAGTTCCGTGGAGCTGTATTTCCAGTCACCATGATGTGTACAATAACACCGCTCTGTACGCTAGGTGAGGTGAAATTGGGTTTAACGTCGCACTGAAGAATATTTCGCTCATATGACGACGTGGATGCGTGTGTATGTGTGGCTGCTTGCACTAGCCTAGACTTAAGCTCGTTTTATTAGTGCTAGCCCACTGAGATATCATGCCGCAGTGAAGCATGAATACCCCACTCAGACACATTATACTGATTCTGAGCTGACCAGTCCTTGATGTACCTATTAATGCCGAGCGCCTCATGTACCATATTTTAACGTCTTTTGGTATGACGCGGCCGGGGATCGAACCAGGCGACCTTCCGCTCTCCGGGCGGACGCTCTAATCACTACACCACGGAGGCGGTCCTCTCTACAATAACGACACTGTGAACAATAACATTATTGACAACAATAAGATCACTGTGTACAATAACAATACTGTGCACAATAACATTATTGACAACAATAAGATCACTGTGTACAATAACAATACTGTGCACAATAACATTATTGACAACAATAAGATCACTGTGAACAATAACAATACTGTGCACAATAACATTAATGACAACAATAAGATCACTGTGTACAATAACAATACTGTGTACAATAACAATACTGTGTACAATAACAATACTGTGTACAATAACAATACTGTGCACAATAACATTATTGACAACAATAAGATCACTGTGTACCATAACAATACTGTGCACAATAACATTATTGACAACAATAAGATCACTGTGAACAATAACAATACTGTGTACAATAACAATACTGTGTACATTAACAATACTGTGCACAATAACATTATTGACAACAATAAGATCACTGTGAACAATAACAATACTGTGCACAATAACATTATTGACAACAATAAGATCACTGTGTACAATAACAATACTGTGCACAATAACATTATTGACAACAATAAGATCACTGTGAACAATAACAATACTGTGTACAATAACAATACTGTGTACATTAACAATACTGTGCACAATAACATTATTGACAACAATAAGATCACTGTGTACAATAACAATACTGTGCACAATAACATTATTGACAACAACAAGATCACTGTGTACAGTAACAACACTGTGAACAATAACAATACTGTGCACAATAACATTATTGACAACAATAAGATCACTGTGTACAATAACAATACTGTGCACAATAACATTATTGACAACAATAAGATCACTGTGTACAATAACAATACTGTGCACAATAACATTATTGACAACAATAAGATCACTGTGAACAATAACAATACTGTGCACAATAACATTATTGACAACAATAAGATCACTGTGAACAATAACAATACTGTGCACAATAACATTATTGACAATAATAAGATCACTGTGTACAGTAACAATACTGCGAACAATAACAATACTGTGCACAATAACATTATTGACAACAATAAGATCACTGTGTACAATAACAATACTGTGCACAATAACATTATTGACAACAATAAGATCACTGTGAACAATAACAATACTGTGCACAATAACATTATTGACAACAATAAGATCACTGTGTACAATAACAATACTGTGCACAATAACATTATTGACAACAATAAGATCACTGTGTACAATAACAATACTGTGCACAATAACATTATTGACACAACAATAAGATCACTGCACAATAACAAAACTGTGCACAATAACATTATTGACAACAATAAGATCACTGTGTAATAATAACAATACTGTGCGCAATAACATTATTGACAACAATAAGATCACTGTGTACAATAACAATGCTGTGCACAATAACATTATTGACAACAATAAGATCACTGTGTGCAATAACAATACTGTGCACAATAACATTATTGACAACAATAAGATCACTGTGTACAATAACAATACTGTGCACAATAACATTATTGACAAACAATAAGATCACTGTGAACAATAACAATACTGTGCACAATAACATTATTGACAAACAATAAGATCACTGTGAACAATAACAATACTGTGTACAATAACATTATTGACAACAATAAGATCACTGTGTACAATAACAATACTCTGTACAATAACAATACTGTGCACAATAACATTATTGACAACAATAAGATCACTGTGTACAATAACAATACTGTGTACGATAACAATACTGTGTACAATAACAATACTGTGAACAATAACAATACTGTGCACAATAACATTACTGTGCACAATAACATTATTGACAACAATAAGATCACTGTGAACAATAACAATACTGTGCACAATAACATTATTGACAACAATAAGATCACTGTGTACAATAACAATACTGTGTACAATAACAATACTGTGTACAATAACAATACTGTGAACAATAACAACATTATGCTCGAATAATTGCAATTGTTACAATAACATTATTGACAACAATAAGATCACTGTGAAGAACAATAACAAGCTGTGCACAATAACATTATTGACAACAATAAGATCACTGTGAACAATAACAATACTGTGTGCAATAACTTAAAACTGTGCACAATAACATTACTGTGCTGGCAATAACATTATTGACAACAATAAGATCACTTTGAACAATAACAATACTGTGCACAATAACATTATTGACAACAATAAGATCACTGTGTACAATAACAATACTGTGCACAATAACATTATTGACAACAATAAGATCACTGTGAACAATAACAAAACTGTGCACAATAACATTATTGACAACAATAAGATCACTGTGAACAATAACAATACTGTGTACAATAACATTATTGACAACAATAAGATCACTGTGTACAGTAACAAGACTGTGAACAATAACAATACTGTGCACAATAACATTATTGACAACAATAAGATCACTGTGTACAATAACAATACTGTGTACAATAACAATACTGTGTACAATAACAATACTGTGAACAATAACAATACTGTGTACGATAACAATACTGTGTACAATAACAATACTGTGAACAATAACAATACTGTGCACAATAACATTATTGACAACAATAAGATCACTGTGAACAATAACAATACTGTGCACAATAACATTATTGACAACAATAAGATCACTGTGAACAATAATAATACTGTGTACAATAACAATACTGTGCACAATAACATTACTGTGCACAATAGCATTATTGACAACAATAAGATCACTGTGTACAATAACAATACTGTGCACAATAACATTACTGAGAGCAATAACAATGCTGAGTACAATCGCAATACTGTATAATATCCATGAGATTATGCAGAAACATTATAGTGAATGAGGTAAACTTTTATGTCACATCGGCAGTATTTCAGCAATATCGTGACTAAAACAAGTTCTAATTTCATGATAAATTCATATAAATTATAAACCCCTGTCAAGGAAGGACAGTAAAAAGAACTAGCATATCACAAAAACAGAATTTAAAAGTAGCATATGTCTCTAAAATGTTATTGCTATCAGAACAAACAATATTTTAACGGGCTGTAGATCACCAGCAACTGAATGTAGATCACCATATTAGGGACCATCGGGACTTACAATACCTTTAGTCACAGACGATTGTAGCCAAATATAGCCATCATTTAAAATCACGAAAATACTACGTTTAAAACGTCTGGTTATCTTCTGTTTACTTTGAATATTTCAGGACTTTCGAACCCTCTCAGGAAGGCAATAAGTTTACAATATTTTAACCCCAAGTATTATAAAACATACCTTTACCGAGCTATTCTCGTACAGGTCTTGTTAGGAATATTCACTCGTCAACTATGTACTTCCTGGTTTGCCCACCGTTTCATACTAATGATTGTTGACCTCGTTGGCTTTATGCCTGCTTCAAAGACGCTCATGGGAGAGAACAATACTCCCATTATCGAGTTGTTGCGTGATTGCCAAGAACTTAAGTCACACTTCAAGTGTTTGCGAGCCTGTGTCCTATACACACCATGAACATGTGAGGACGTACTAGTAAATCGAGCAGGGTAACTGACACCATTGACTTCGCCCAATCGATGTACAGTACCTTTACAAAATAAGTACCCTTCAATCCAGATAGTCAGAGAGATGACTCAGTCCCCTTTCCGAATTTGAATGTCCTGCTAGTTTATCCGTGTGTCATGATATCAGAAACTCACCTCTAGTCTCCCCGACTGTACACAGAGCATACCTCTAGTTTCCCAACTGTACACAGAGCATACCTCTAGTTTCCCAACTGTACACAGAGCATACCTCTAGTTTCCCGACTGTACACAGAGCATACCTCTAGTTTCCCGACTGTACACAGAGCATAGCCTCCTAGTTTCCCGACTGTACACAGAGCATACCTCTAGTTTCCCGACTGTACACAGAGCAAACCTCTAGTTTCCCGACTGTACACAGAGCATACCTCCTAGTTTCCCTGACTGTACACACAGAGCATACCTCTAGTTTCCCAAACTGTACACAGAGCATAACTCTAGTTTCCCAACTGTACACAGAGCATACCTCTAGACTGTTTCCCGACTGTACACAGAGCACAGCTATAATGTCCCAACTGTGCACACAGAGCATACCTCTAGCATTCCCTCTAGACTGTACACAGAGCATACCTAAAGTTTCCCGACTGTACACAGAGCATACCTCTAGTTTCCCGGACTGTACACAGAGCATACCTCTAGTTTCCCAACTGTACACAGAGCACAGCTATAATGTCTAGACTGTGCACAGAGCATACCTCAAGTTTCCCGACTGTGCACAGAGCATACCTCTAGTTTCCCGACTGTAGACAGAGCACAACTCTAGTTTCCCAACTGTACACAAAGCATACCTCAAGTTTCCCGACTGTACACAGAGCATACCTCAAGTTTCCCGACTGTGCACAGAGCACACCTCTAGTTTCCTATACTGTACACAGAGCATACCTCAAGTTTCCCGACTGTACACAGAGCATACCTACCACAAGTTTCCCGACTGTACACAGAGCATACCTCTAGTTTCCCGACTGTACACAGAGAGCATACCTCAAGTTTCCCGACTGTACAGAGAGCATACCTCTAGTTTCCCGACTGTACACAGAGCATACCTCAAGTTTCCCGACTGTGCACAGAGCATACCTCTAGTTTCCCGACTGTAGACAGAGCACAACTCTAGTTTCCCAACTGTACACACAGCATACCTCAAGTTTCCCGACTGTACAGAGAGCATCCCTCTAGTTCCCCAACTGTACAGAACACAGCTATAATGTCTAGACTGTACACACAGCATACCTTTAGTTTCCCGACTGTGAACAGAGCACAGCTATAATGTCTAGATTGTACACAGAGCATTCCTCTGATGTCTTAAGTGTACAAAGAGCACCCTTATAATGTCTAGATTGTACAGAGAGCAGACTTATACTATCTGGACTGTACACAGAGCATTTGTACACAGAACATCCCTATATGTGGACTGCGTGCTTTCTGCAAGAAGTCATGCTATATGAGGATACGGACGGACCACTTGGCCACCTGACCACTGTAAACTTGGTTTCGTAGCGGTATGGCTGATCGAGATATCGATACGATAACCGATACGACGTTAAATGTTAACTCACTCACTCACTACAGCCAAACTGAAATAATACTATTTTTTTTTAGAAACGCCATTATCTGTCAGGTGTGATTATCCGAGATGCACATGGCTTTGCTGATGGATGTTAGTTCAATTCTATCGAAGAAGAAGACTTAGATACACATCATTAACATAACTCAGGTAATATACAAAGATGTCTATACCCCTGTTAAAACCAATATCGAAGTGCTTAAGATACAGTATTCCAGTTATATCACAGGAAAGACTAATGTACCGAACTTTTAACATATATGTTTTTTACTCAAATTTTCACATTACATGTATTTCACTTTTTTCTTAAAATATTCAGTTATTTCGATTGGTTATTAGTTATTACCAGTTTTTTAACGAACACGACGGACCTCGGGCCCTACCACGACCTCGAGTGAATATATTTAGGATATTTCAATAGTAATTGATTTGGAGGTATATCAACAACGACCCAGCACATGTTTTAAAGCAAACAAAATTAAAGAAAACAACAACAGAAAAATACAAAATAAAAACCAAAAAATCATCCAGCATACCCATCTACCATCTTTGGTATTAAAAGTCGAGGACCGTATCTCCGGTTCTAGACTATGGCACCTTTGTCTCATAACTTCCCCCTCAACGTGTACGTACACATATACAAGAAAATCTGCTGGTATTAGAGAACTATGTTCAAGGCCACATATATATTCAAGATCAAGAGTCACAATATGGCTGCAATATTGCCGATGTGACGTTAAATATTAACTCACTCACTCACTCAAGATCAAGATATGTTATTGTAGATAAGACCTTGATGTTTGATAGATATCTCCAGGTTCGATCATTGTTTTAAAGGATCTATATACATCAAATATAGGACTTGAACTAAGGGTATTCATCCACCCTGACGAAACATATCAACGGCTCATTGACAAAATTCGTTCACAAACAGCGACTTGTTACCAACACCTTGGAAAAGCCACACGTATCCAAATCCACACGAAAACAACAGATATCTTATACTTGATGCCCATGGTACATGATCCTAAATATCTAAATTAAGCAGCATGTTATAAGATGTTTTGGGTAGATGCTGTTCATGCATTCTCAGTATTTGGAACCAGTACTTTTATGCATCGAAAGTGAGAGTTTATATGAAGTGGATATCTTCCAAATTCTCCATATACCATAGAGTTTGGTGTTGTAATGTTAACTAACATTAAGGAACTTCTTACATGCCAATAAATGTATTTTTCATTCGGTTCAAAAGTCTGAAAAACCCATATTTCTCCCCATACAAAAGCATTGGTTGAATCTGTGCATCGAAAAATAAAACCTATCTTTGGTGATGTTGGCGCTAATGGGTAGAGTGATGAAAATACATAGACTATATCTTGTTTTGCTGTTGCTGATAAGGCAACGGCAGCTTTTACCCTCGTTCAGTGTAGAATTAAAATGTACTCCAAGATATTTGTATTCAGAAATTATTTGTATAGAAATGCCATTATAAGACCATTGTTCGCCACCAGCGAGTTAGTTTCCCCGTTACCTGACCAACTGATTGAAGAAACCCAGTTTCCTTATGATTGAGGAACCCGTTAGTCCATGACAACAAAACAAAGGCGTAAACTTCCCCTGATACACAACAAATATTCGTGTGACCGAAATCTCATAGAGGAAGGAAAGCACCAGGATAACTTTGTAAAATGTTGTCAAATTCAGATTAATGAAACTTTGCATTCGCTAATTCAATACTTAATCGATAATGGATTAAACAAATGTGTGTACCCACATCTTGCAATAGGTCCGACACAACATCAGACACAAAGAGTGAGTGAGTTTAGTTTTACGCCGCTTTTAGCAATATTCCAGCTATATTTGGGGGGGGGTCAGAAACACAGACCTTGTGGAACCGTTGGGGATCCGGATAAGAGGGTTCCCCCGTCATATACTCATGGAAACGAATAAGGGAACATATGTGATAGTACAAGTGTTCCTTTATTCTTTTCCAGAATTTCACCCACAGTGCAATACAAAGCTTGTGGAGAAACCTGGAAAAGAATAAGGAACACTTGTACTTTCATGCGTTCCCTTCAGTATATGTCATTATTCTGAGAAGCCAGTCTGTGGATTGGACGGTCGATTTCAGTGACGTTGCAAATAGTTATTACTTGGGGTATGGTTTACGTAAATATATTTATATCTGCTATGAATGGTCTTCAACAACTAATGTTGGTCACTAACAGGATTATCCGCTCGGGCCCTGGAACTTTGGGGATTCACGTCATTGAATTGAAATTGCGTAGGCCGATACTCGTGATGTAAATCGTTGAATTGTCTAGTCCAGACTCGATCATTTGAAGCCAGCACATAACAAACACAAATACAAACTTAAGGACCGTGCTTGATACAGCTGGAATATATCAGATGTGAAGGTATGCCCTAAAGTGGGGATCTTGAATCTCCATTGCGTTGATCGTTGCGGATTTTGTAAATCGTTGGTTTGTCTGGTCCAGATTCGATTACTTACAGGGCGCCGTGATGCAACTGAAACACTGCTGGGTGTTTCATCAAACGATAGACACAAAGACAATAGAAACAAGCCTCAGGATTCTCAGGATACCACACGGGCCTGCAATGTGCTGGGTGCTCTCATCTACATCACATAGGAATTACAGCTGGTAAGTTACACCATGGCGATATGGCTGCAGACATAACACCGGATTATTGTCAGAACCAGCCAATTTTATATTGTGCGAATACCGAAGAGGTGTATTTTATGGAAATAGCGTTCAGGAGTTCAGGAGCATTGTGTGCACATTTCAATACTGTACAGGGATATTTTAATGACATACCACCAGTGAAAACGGATAATATACCGACATACCAAACGTGAGTACAGATAATTTACCGACACACCAACAGTGAGTACGGATAATTTACCGATATACCAACAGTGAGTACAGATAATTTACTGAAATACCAACAGTGAGCAAGGATAAATTACCGACATACAAACAGTGAGCAAGGATAAATTACCGACATACAAACAGTGAGTACGGATAATTTACCGACATACCAACAGTGAGCAAGGATAATTTACCGACATACCAACAGTGAGTACGGATAATTTACAGACATACCAACAGTGAGCAAGGATAAATTACTGACATACAAACAGTGAGCACGGATAAATTACCGAAGCACCAACAGTGAGTACGGATACTTTAACGACACACCAAAAGAGAGAGAGGATAAATTACTGACACACCAACAGTGAGCACGGGAAAATTACCAACATACCAAGTGAGTACGGATAATTTACAGACATACCAACAGTGAGCACGGATAATCTACCAACATACCAACAGTGAGCACGGATAAATTACCAACATACCAACAGTGAGCACGGATAATATAGAGACAGACCAACAGTGAGCATGTCTAATTTACAGACATACCAACAGTGAGTACAGATAATTTACTGAAATACCAACAGTGAGTACGGATAATATAGAGACAGACCAACAGTGAGCATGTCTAATTTACAGACATACCAACAGTGAGTACAGATAATTTACTGAAATACCAACAGTGAGCACGGATAAATTACCGACATACAAACAGTGAGCACGGATAATTTATCGACATACAAACAGTGAGCAAGGATAAATTACCAACATACAAACAGTGAGTACGGAAAATTTACCAACATACAAACAGTGAGCAAGGATAAATTACCGACATACAAACAGTGAGTACGGATAATTTACCGACATACAAACAGTGAGTACGGATAAATTACCGACATACAAACAGTGAGCACGGATAATTTACCGACATACCAACAGTGAGCACGGATAAATTACTGACGCACCAACAGTGAGTACGGATAATTTACCGACACACCAACAGAGAGAGAGGATAAATTACTGACACACCAACAGTGAGCACGGGAAAATTACCAACATACCAAGTGAGTACGGATAATTTACAGACATACCAACAGTGAGCACGGATAATCTACCAACATACCAACAGTGAGCACGGAAAATATAGAGACAGACCAACAGTGAGCATGTCTAATTTACAGACATACCAACAGTGAGCATGCATAATTTACCGACACAGTAACAGTGAAAACGCATAATTTACCGACACACCAACAGTGAGCATAGATAAATTACCGACATACCAACAGTGAGCACGGATAATTTACTGACATACCAACAGTCTAATTTGATGGGCAGAGAGCACTTTAATTTGATGGACATATCAGCTGAGAGCACTCCTAATTGATGGGCATATCAGTAGTGAGCACGGATAATTTATCGACACACCAACAGTGAGCACAGATAATATAGAGACAGACCAACAGTGAGCTCGGATAATTTACCGAGATACGAACAGTGAGCACGGATAATTTACTGACATACCAACAATGAGCACAGATAATATAGAGACAGACCAACAGTGAGCTCGGATAATTTACCGAGATACGAACAGTGAGCACGGATAATTTATCGACACACCAACAGTGAGCTGAGATAATATAGAGACAGACCAACAGTGAGCTCGGATAATTTACCGACATACGAACAGTGAGCATGGATAATTTACTGAGATAGCGACAGTGAGCAAGGATAATTTACCGACATACAAACAGTGAATACGGATAATTTACCGACATACCAACAGTGAGCACCGATACTTTACTGACGCACCAACAGTAAAGTACGGATAATTTACCGACATACCAAGTGAGCACGGATAAATTACCGACTGACACACAAACAGTGAGCACGGATAATTTACTGACATACCAACAGTGAGCAAGGATAATTTACCGACATACCAACAGTGAGTACGGATAATTTACAGACATACCAACAGTGAGCATGGATAAATTACTGACATACAAACAGTGAGCACGGATAAATTACTGACGCACCAACAGTGAGTACGGATAATTTAACGACACACCAAAAGAGAGAGAGGATAAATTACTGACACACCAACAGTGAGCACGGGAAAATTACCAACATACCAAGTGAGTACGGATAATTTACAGACATACCAACAGTGAGCACGGATAATCTACCAACATACCAACAGTGAGCACGGATAAATTACCAACATACCAACAGTGAGCACGGATAATATAGAGACAGACCAACAGTGAGCATGTCTAATTTACAGACATACCAACAGTGAGTACGGATAATTTACTGAAATACCAACAGTGAGTACGGATAATATAGAGACAGACCAACAGTGAGCATGTCCAACACAGAGTACCAACAGTGAGTCAGATAATTTACTGAAATACCAACAGTGAGCACGGATAAATTACCGACATACAAACAGTGAGCACGGATAATTTACCGACATACAAACAGTGAGCACGGATAAATTACCGACATACAAACAGTGAGTACGGAAAATTTACCGACATACAAACAGTGAGCAAGGATAAATTACCGACATACAAACAGTGAGTACGGATAATTTACCGACATACAAACAGTGAGCCAGGATAATTTACTGACGCACCAACAGTGAGTACGCATAATTTACCGACATACCAACAGTGAGCACGGATAAATTACCGACATACAAACAGTGAGCACGGATAATTTACCGACATACCAACAGTGAGCACGGATAAATTACTGACGCACCAACAGTGAGTACGGATAATTTAACGACACACCAACAGAGAGAGAGGATAAATTACTGACACACCAACAGTGAGCACGGGAAAATTACCAACATACCAAGTGAGTACGGATAATTTACAGACATACCAACAGTGA